TAGTATTATATATAAAATGTTGAAACAGAATAATGAATTTATTTGAGTTTAATTCATTCCATGAACTTAATTTCAGTGGCAATTTATTTGTGTTAGATTTTGGCGATTTTAAAATAGTAGGATCCTTTTTATTTTTTAGTACAAACAAAATTCATTAGTTCACTTACTTAAAAAGCTATTTTAACACAGTACTTCTAACATAATTTCCTAGGTACTTATAAAACATTTCCAGAATCAAGTTAATGAGCTACAGGGAAAACAAGAGTCTCTTGTAGTTTCTCAAGTTCGAGAAGAAATCCTACAGAAGGAGGTAAGAAATAGCCAAAATACTGGGCTAACATAAGCTTTTCTTAGCTATTTCAGACATATTTGTATTTCTGTATAAAATTTTTTATACAGAAATTACACATAGACATAACCCAAAAATATCTATCATGTCAATAAAATATTAATAAAAGTCTCCTTACCCCAGATGACAGATTTTCTGGGCAGTGGGGAAATGGAGTGGGGTTGGTTTGGTTCTTTTGTTTGAATTTTTAAGAGGTAAAATTGGATGGTTAAGGCCATTTCTGCATTAATTAACTAAGACTAATTTGATTAAGAAATAGGTAAAGAAATTATGACAGTGAGGCTGGTTCACCAAGAACAATATCACTACAGGAAATAGATCTTTCTGGAAACTCACCATTTTTATTACTCTAAGATCCTTTTGATTCTAGAAAGTATGAAAAAACAGATAAGCTATGCATTCTATTCTTTGAAACATATACATTATTTTTTTATTATTCAAAGTTTTATTAAATCACATGATATAAGCAAAACCATCCAGCTAAATTGCATTATGAAAAGATTAATGTAAAAATACTCCACAATTATGCAGCTCTGTTTTTAAAATCTTGTTCTAGTAGTTGAAAGGCTGTCGTCCAGCACTGTGCATTCTTTCAGTGTTTAAGAGGTACATAAACTTTGTTGTGTAAGCAGTAAATTTACAGACCCTCACAGACCTGGAGTAAAGTTTTTTTAAGAAAGCGGTAAAAGGAAGTATGTGTTCATGTTCATGTTTGCAAGATAAAGAACAGGGTCAATTTTGGTCAGGTTACAGTGTTCTGAGTTTGAGAATAGCTAAGTATTTTGAAACTAGAAAAGCTGTGACTCAGGATTTTTAAAGCTGTTTACGGGAAAACTAAGTAAAGCAGTCTGTCCTTGAATAAAACTAGTGACGGCCTGCCTTTCGCTGTGGAGCGTGTTTATAACAGCTGGTTTAACAGGGCGGATTTATTCCCACTACCGCTAACCCCCGAGGGCCCTCTCTGGTGCCCCGTGCTGTGAGGCATTCCCTCTCAAGCCCGTGGGAATACGAGCCACCCCAAGTCTGTGTGAGCCCAGGAGTCCTTCAGACTGCTTCCTCCAGCTTCGAAACTGCGTCCAGGCAGCAAACAACGCGGCAGCCCGTCTTGTTTGCTTCCCTCTCCTGTGAACCCCGGCCCTGCAGTGCTGTTAGCCAGTGTCCAGAAACAGTCATCTCATGTGTTGTCTGGTTTTTCAGTTGTTTAAGGAAAGAAAGTAGAGCCCTGTCTCTTACTCCATTGTGGCCGCAGGTGAAAAGCACACTGTACATGTTTAAACAGTGATAAATTCTGTTCTGCGGTTTTGACTGCTTGTTTTTAATTTTATAGACCTCTAAGAAAACGGAGGGATTTCAGATGTTTCAACATAGTTCAAGTCTGTTGTTGGAGCTTTTTAGGTTCCTTTGGTGGTGTTCCTTTGGCTGATTTGTGTGTGTGTGTGTGTGTGTGTGTGTGTGTGTGTGTGTGACCCTTGATCTCTTGCATCTGAGTAAGTGGTGTCCTCTTCCAGACTTCGCAGGTTTGCTTTGGCAGAGGCAGCTCTTCACTAGTCAGCTCATTTTGGGTTTCTGGATGTGTCTGCTGCATAGGTGGGGCCTGCTGTTAGGTTGTGTTTTGGGGCAAGGCCACTGCCCAAGCTCTGAGGCTGGGGGGAGAGGAATGCCGCTGACTCAGGACAGTTGGACAGGATTTCTGGTTCAGTCCCCTGCCTAAGTGAGTCTGTTTCCTGGCCTTTATCCAGAGTACCAAGTGTGACCTAGGATCACCTCATGATTCTAAACGTTTACTTGAACCTACATTTTCTAATAGAGGAGTCAAAATAGTAAGAATGATAGTTACTATTTATTAAGTGTTTATGGTATGCCAGGCACTGTGTTAAATGGCTCTATGTGGTTCTCACAATGACCCAAAAGAGCAGGTACTATTATTCTCATTTTATAGATGAGAAATTGATTCTAAGAAAAATGAAATAACTTGCCTGAGGTTACCAAGCTGCAGTGCCAGCATTAGAACCCAGGGCCTCTGGCCCCAGGTCCCAGGCTCAGAATTGTTTTAGCAGTCCCCTGTTGCTGGACATTCAGGTTGTCACCAGTTTTCTCAATAGTATTCCAAGTAGCAGGAAGCATTTTTTCATGCATCTTTGCTTATCTATCCAGTTGCTTCCAATGGATAAATTCACTAAAATAGAAGGGTTTTTAAAAATAAACGCTCAACCGTAACTATACTCTTAAAGATGCTTTTACGTGTGTACAAAGGAAGGGAAGTTTACTCTGTCTCGAACCAGATTTCTGAATTTATGTAGTTTACAAATGAATATTTAAGCTTTGAAAGGCAAATCCATTGATTTATTCATGGATAATTATTGAACGCCTGCTCTCTGCTGTGCACAGCTCTAGGTGCTAGGAATACTGAGGAGAACAAAGCAGTCAAAATCCCTGCTCTCATGGAGCTTACATTTTATTTGGGGAATCAGCCAATAAACAAATGTATATTTTGATAAATAAGATTAACTGAAACAACATCCAGAAAGTACTCAGCATGGCACCTCGCACATGACAGTGCCTCTGAGCTTTCTTAGGTCAATAATCATTGTTTTTTGTTTTGGGGTTTTTTTTGTTTGTTATTTACAATTTTTGTACTAATCATTGTTTAGACATACAAGATTTTTATGCCCAGCATCCATCACCACAGCATGGTATATAAGGCCTCTCTCCCTGATCTTTCTGCAAATCATCCCAATTAAAGCCTGCTTATTTCTTTGGTCACTGATGATATCAAGGATATCCCACTTTTAAAATATTACGACTTGCCTCTGATTTAATTTCCAGATAAATTAAGAAGAATATATCCATTCTTTTTTCTTTTTTTTTTTAGTGTTACGAGTGTTATTAGATACTGGGTATTTCCATGTAAAACATGATTGAATTTGTTAATTTTATCTATTTTCATTTGCTTACTATTTTGCCTTTTGATGTTAACAATTAGCAAGTTATCATAATTATATGGTGTAGAGAAAATGCAGTTAATTGTTTTATCAGGCCCAGTATAGAGTCCTCACATTCCCTCCATTTCACTCTCTGGTGCCATAAAAATAGTACCATTTTTTCTTTGTGCCGTGGTATGAAAAAGGAGGTACTGCACTAGACCGTCACCTCCGTGAGCACAGGGAGTACCTATGTCTTTCTTTCATCTCTGCATCTTCAGGACCTAAGACAGCAGCCAGCACAGAAAGAGTTCAGCACTTCCTTATCTCTATTTTACATGAATACATTAACTAGTGGAAGGAATTATTATAAATTATAAAATTATAAAACTCAGAAGAGAATTACAAATAGAATTATAGTGAGCTGACAAAAAAGATTCATATTTATTGACTCTTTTTATGTGTTAGGTGCTTTAAATATATTACATAATTCTTAAAATAATCATCCTATTAACACATGCCTTGTAGCAAGGCTGAATACATCAAAGAAAGTATCCAGCTTCTTTTTGAGCATCACAACCAGCCTAGCTACGTGGGAGGGAGAAAGTGGTCCAGTTATCTGGAACCTTTTGGAATGTGAGGTCAGTTCAGAGCTAAGATGAGCCTTTACTTTCTGGACCCAGGAAATGAAAAGTATTAACTATTTTAACAACCCCAGATACCTTTATTGTTAACAAGAAGCCTCTTATCTAGAGAAATTTTATACAAAGAAGATGCAGTGAATGTTCTTACTTCTTATGACTGCCTGTTGAAAATGAGTTATTTCCTTATTATCATAATTTTCCACTTATTTCATATCTCAATTTTAGATAACAAAACTCTTAGAAGAATTGCGAGAAGCCAAAGAAAACCATACACCAGAGATGAAACATTTCATGGTCTTAGAAAAGAAAATTAAACAGATGGAAATGAGACATGAGCAGAGAGAGCAGGAGCTTCAGCAGGTGAAGTAGTAAATCACATTTATATTTGTATAGTTCTTCACGGTCAAGTTCCTCCAGTTTGCAATGGTGTGGTCATCCTTAGCAAATCACTACTTAAAGTGTTTCCATTGTATATTGATTGTATTAAAAATAAATGTATAGCTTTTAAGAGAAACTAAGACTTTCTCAAATACCAGAAGATTGATTTGCCTTAAATCTAGACAAATGAGAAACAACTTTTGTATCATGTTTTTAATTACTGATGGATGCCTAAAAGTTAGGCATTCTACCCTGGGAACAGGGCTCTTAGAAACCATGTTCCATATTTAAGTAATTTCAATAAATATTTGTAAAAAACAGGTTTATATTAAAAAATGATAATTTAAAATATTATATGCCTAACACTAGTAACATTAGGATTACTACGCATAATTGCAAGTAGATAAATTAATAGAAATTAAAATGGCATAAGGGCATGATGTGTTTTTAGTTACTAGCCTTTGTCCTGAGATTTGCTTGAACAGTGTATTGGTCTGCTTGGGCTGCCACAGAAAAATATAAACTGAGTGGCTTAAAAACAAATTAGTTTTTTCACAGATCTGGAGGCTGAAAGTCTAAGATCAAGGTTACAGCTGATCCGGTTTCTAGTGAGATCTCTTTCTCGCTTGCAGATTACCTTTTCTCTGTGTGTGCATTCAGTCTGAAACAGTATAAATTTATATACTCTTTGAAAATGACAAGTATCACATACCTGCATTATGGTTGACCCAAATTCCACAAAGAAACCCTAGCACTGTTTAATCACATCAAGATTCTAGTTCTTTATCATCATAGAAACTACAAAATGTGACATGGAGAACAAAGAGATTAACCGATTTCTCACTCACTTAGACTTTTGTGGACTTTTCTTAAAAACACAGAGCAGCAAAGGGAAAAAAAATGAATGAAAAAATAATTGAATATAGGTTAAGGGACTTATGGAACACCATCAGATAGACCAACATTCACATTATAGGGTTCCCAGAAAGAGAAGAGAGAAAGGGGCAGAAAACCATTTAACAGAGTAATGGCTGAAAACTTAATAACTTGTGGAAAGAAACAGAATCCAGATCTAGGATGCTCCAAAAGTCCTAAATAAGATGAACCCAAAGAGATCTATATCAAGACACATTATAATTAAATTATGAAAAACTAAAGACAAGTGGAAAATCTTAAAAGCAGCAAGTGAAAAGCAACTTATTCCATAAAAGGAACCCCCATAAGACTATCCACCGATTTTTCAGCAGAAACTTTGCAGGCCACGAAGGAGTGGCCTGATAGTCAAAGTGCTGAAGGGAAAAACCTTCCAACCAAGAACACTCTACCCATCAAAGCTGTCATGCAGACTTAAAGGAAAGATAAAGGGTTTTCTAGACAATAAAAAGCTAAAGGAGTTGAGCACTACTAGGCCAGCCTTAAAAGGATGTTAAAAGGGCATCTTTAAGCTAAAACAAAGGGCACTAATTAGTAACAAGACAATGTGTGAAAGCATAAATCTCACTGGTAAAGGTAAATGTATGGTAATATTCAGAACCATCTAGTGTTAGAAGGGTGGTGAGTTAATCACTTATAAAAATAAAGGTTAGAATGCAGATGGTAGTCAAAATACAACTACACTAATTTCAGGGATACACCACATAAAAAGATACAAATTGTAACATCAAAAACAAAACATGACAAGAAGGAGTAAAAATGTAGAGCTGTAGGATGTGTTCAAACTTAAATTATCACCTTAAAATAAACTGTTAAAAATATAAGTTGTCTTACGTATGACACACAGTAACCACAAAGCAAATATTTTCAAAAGAAAAATGGAATCTAAGCATACCACTAAGAAAATCATCAGGTGACAAAGGAAAAGCACAAGAAAGGAATAAAAGAACTACAAAACACCCAGGAAATAATTAACAAAATGACAATAAGTACATACCCATCAGGAAATACTTTAAATGTAAATGGGCTAACTTTTCCCTTGAAAAGACAGAGTACCTGAATGGTTAAAAAACAAGACCCATCTATATGCTGCCTACTTGAGACTCACCTCAGACGTAGGGACACAGACTGAAAGTGAAGGGGTGGAAAAATTTCATGCAAACAGAAACCAAAAGAAAGCTTGGGTAGCTACACTTAAATTAAACAAAATTGACTTTAATAAGACAAAGAGGGTTATTACATCATGTGAAGGGTCAATCCTACAAGAATATACAGTATCAGCAAATATGAGCACCCAACATAAGCGCACCTAATATAGAAAGTAAGTATTAACAAGCCTAAAAGGAGAAAGATACAGCAATACAATAATGGTAGGAGACTTTAATGCCCTACTTTCATCAATGGATATATCATGCAGACAGAAAATCTGTAAGGAAATAATGACCTTAAACAGTCTTAGACCAGATGCACTTAAAATGTAGAGGGTATTCCATCCAAAAACAACATACGCATTCTTCTCAAACACATATGGACAATTCTCTAGTATAGATCATCTAAGAGATCACAGAACAAGTCTTAATAAATTTAGGAAGATTGAAATCATATCAAGCATCTTTCCTGACCACAATGGAATGGAAATGGAAATCATTTACAAGAAAAGAACTAGAAAATTCGCAAACATGTGGAGTTAAACCACGTGCTCCCAAGCAACCAGTGGGTTAAAGAACAAATCAAAAAATAAATTTAAAAATATCTTGAGACAATGGAAAATGGAAACACAATATATACCAAAACTTGTGGGATGCAGTAAAGCAGTTCAGAGAGGGAAGTTCATTGCAATAAATGCCTGTATCAGGAAACAAGTCAAAGACAAAGAATTTTTAAAACAGCAAGAGGAAAACAGCATGTTACATACAAGGGAGCCCCCCATAGGACCATGTGCATATTTCTCTACAGAGAATTTATAGGCCAGGAGGCAATGGATTGATAAATTCAAAATACTGAAAGACTGTCAACCAAGAATACAAAACCTGGCAAAGCTGTCCTTCAGGAAAAAAATAAAGGGTCAAAAAAACTTGGGGATAAAGGGAGCGGGGAAGCCAAGGGAATGAATGCATCACCACTAGCCCTGCCTTACAAGAAATACTAAAGGGAATTCATCAAGTGGAAATAAAAGGATGCTAATTAACATCATAAAAATATGAATGTGGGGCGGGGAGGGTATAGCTTAGTGGCAGAGCTCATGCTTAGCATGCAGGAGGTCCTGGGTTCAATCCCCAGTACTTCCATCGAAAGTAAATAAATAAACTTAATTACCTACGCCCTCCAAAAAAAAACCCTTAACTTAAAAAAAAAAAATCAAG